GGAGTCCCTAGGTCCTATAGTCAGTTGATATGCTCTATTGGTAACCAAAATAGTTTTCTTTGGTGGCATATAGGGCTGAGTGTTAGCCTGTTAATGAAGAGGTGGTGGTTGTTGTTAGGTGCCATCGAGTCGTAGATGACTTATAGCAACCCTATGAATGAAAGACCTGAACACTTGTATAACTTTGGTCATTTCTCCATATTCATAGGGTTTCTGGAGGCAAGCCATTTTGGAAGTGGATGCCACTTCTGCTTCCAAGCTTGTTTTAAATAGGGAGCTTCACCAAACACTGTTCACCATGGGTAACCATTATCACATTTGGCACATCAATGTCACAGTGTTTAGCATCACAGCAACCACGAGTTACCTCTTTACAGCAATGTACAGACCAGTGCTGTATCACTTAAAAGAATGCTTGACAAAAAAGAATTTCAATCAGGCATGAGTGCTGCAGATTAAAATCACCCACCTTGGGTTTGGTAGCATAACTTTTTGTCCACTAGGTCAACATACTCCAAGGGAGCCTGGTTCTGTTAAGACTTAAAGCCTTGGGAACCTGATGGGGCACTTCTCCTTTGCTCTATAAGGTCATTATGAACCAAAATCTATTTATAGCAATTGAATGAATTTTTTTGGCTAACTCAAAAGCTGGAACTGTGAATTCACCCACAGCCACCTTGGAAGAAAGGCCTACTGATCTGCTTCCAAATATTCCCCCAGTTGAAAGTTCTGTGGAGCACAGTTCTATCCCGAGACACAGGTTTCCATGAGTTGGAGAAAACGCAACGGCTACTTTTTGTTGTTGTTAACTTGACAAAGAAAAGCACTGTATTCCCCTCCCTATCCAGACTTCCTCCTTCTTCTTCCACAAACTCAGACAGAATTGTCCCTTAGGATGTAAGAAAATCTACATAAATTCTGTGGAATGGCTGGTTCTATTTTATTGGAAAGCTGATAAAATTGGGCAAAAGTCAAAATAAGTTTCAAAATTTCTCCTGTTTTTATTTAAAAAAAAATTCCTACTTTACTCTTTTTCCCCTCTAAGCAATTTAATACTTGGCATTAAAAACATTAGCAGTACAAAAGATAGATTTGAGGAGGAAGTGAGTAAAAAGTTGAACTAAGACCAGTCCTAGTTGAAATGAACAAAGAAAACTCATCCACTTCAATTTAGTTACCTGCCTTGTCTTATTTCTTCATTCCTTCACTCAGATGAAAATCTGATAGGGAGGAAATAAGATCTTTTTGACCTCATAGCACTGAGTAATCCATAAAGTAATCAGTAATTTATACAGCAACTGAAGGTATCCTTTCTCATTATTTTCTTAAAAAACAAAAATGAAAACTCAAGAGTCTTGAAAACAGAGATCACTATCATATTTAAAAATCTCATCATGGAAACTTTTCTTGGGCCAAAATTTGATTCAGCTCAAAAAAATTAAAGCACAGATTCATAAACCTGAAATTGTTTTCTAACAGGTTCCAATTTTCCTCATTTTATGGAGTGTTATTTTAAATGATTTTTTTTCTTCTGTTAAGTAGATTAAAATATGACTCAAAGCAAATGGTATCTTCTCTTCAGATATTAAGTGTGAAAAGATATATTTTCTGCTGTGAAATATTTTGAAATATAAATGTCACTATTGAATCTCTATCTATTCCCTTATGTATAAGGATACCAAGGCTTACATATGCAGCACCATGGTAGAGAGAGAAGAGACTGAGGTTGTTAACAATTTCAGCTTGCTCGGATCCATAATCAACACTCTCAGTACCAACAGTCAGGAAACCAAAAGATGAATTGCATTTGGAAAATCTGCAGTCAGGAACCTCTTCAAAGTGCTAAAGAGCAAGGAAGTCAGTCTGGAAACTTAAGTGTGCCAGATTCAGGCAATGGTCTTCACAATTACTTGTTATGCATCAAAGAGCTGGACAATAATTAAAGATGACAGAATTAGAATTGATGCCTTTGAGTTGCGGTGATGGAGAGAGTATTGAACATACCATGGGCTGCCAAGAGAACAAACAGGTTTTCCCTAGAGAGGGTGAAACCAGGCTGTTCCTTGTAGGCAAGGCTTTTGAAGCTCTGTCTCACATACTTCTGGGCATATTGCCAGAAGGGACCAATCCTTGGAGAAGGACATTGTGCTTGGAAGGGTGGAGGGACAGCACAGGAGAGGAAAACCTCAGATGAGATGGATTGACACAGTAACTGGGGTAATGGAGGTAGATGTGTCAGAGACAGACTGGCTCAGGATAGGGCAGGGTTCAGAGCTGTTGTACATAGAGTCACTATGAGTCACAGGTGACTAGATGTCACATAACCACAAGGTTTAGAGTTAATACACATTGACATGCAAAAATATAAAGGATCTAGGGAGCAAAGAAAGAAAAGGGGTTTTGTCTCTGTGTGTTTTTAATCAAGGATAAACCCCTTGAATTAAAGCAGATTTTCCTAGGAGTCGAATTTTAAAATTGTTTATTTCTTGGGTTTAATACTGAAACTATATCTTAATGAAATAATATTGATACTTACATTTTTAATAACTTCAAATGACACATATTTAATTTTCTTCTTTAAAATATCTAGAGTAGATATAACAGAGGTACCTTGGGAGATAGGCTTAGTGATCTATTGAAAAACCAACCTTAAAAAAACCTACAGAGCACAAATAATTCTACTCTGTTGTGTTAAGACTAAAAGTTGGCTTTTTAAAGACATTTGACCCTCTACTCTCCAGAACCTTAACTGTGGGCATAGTCTTGCAAATCAGCATGGTCTTGCTAATCATCAATAGCTGAAGCAGCAATATAAAGAGTGCTTCTCACACTGGGCAGCAAGACTCAGAGAAGCAAGACTTGAGGTGAACAAGTCTGGAGGTGGCAAGATGGTGGTGAAAGCCAGACACTGGTGGTGGAGAGACTGGCATTGCTGTGGACAAATGGTGGCAAGGAGTGACCTGAGGCTTCTTACGTTTATGCTGACCACAGCTGGACTATGTTGTTCTTGCCTTTGATGATGGAAGGAAAAGCTGCTTGCCGAATTGAAACCAGAGCCTGGCCTCACTGAGGAGCTGTGCCTTGGAACTATTGGTCAAACATCTGTGCTTATTTTGGGTTGTTGTTGTTGTTATGTGCCATCAAGTTACCTGTGACTCACAGTGACCCTATGAACAACAGTTCTGAAGCCTGCCCTGTCCTGAGCCAGTCTCGCTGACCCCCACACACCTACCCCCACTGTCCCAGTTACTGTATCAATGCATCTTATCCGAGTCTTCCTTTCCTGAGCCATCCTTCCACCCTTCCAAGCATGATGTTCTTCTCCAAGGATCAGTCCCTCCTGGCCATGTGCCCAAAGACAGAGCTTTAGAATCCTTGCTTTGGTTTCACTCTCTCCAAGACAGACCTATGTTTTCTTGGCAGTCTGTGGTATGTTCAAAACTCTTCTTCAGCACCACAACTCAAAGACATTAATTCTTCTATCATCTTTAGTCATTATCCAGCACTCTGATGCACAGCAAGTAACTGCAAAGACCATGGACTGAATCAGGCGCATCTTAGTCTCTAGCCTGACATTGTTGCTTCTCAGTACTCTGGAGAGGTCTCTGACTGCAGATTTACCTAATGAAATGAATCTTTTTATTTCCTGATTGCTGGTGCCAAGAGTACTGATTGTGGAGGCGAGCAAGCTGTAACTGTTAACTAGCTCAATCTCTTCTCCATCCATCATAGTTCTTCCAATTGGCCCAGTGGTGAGAATCTTTGTTTTTTTTGATGTTGAGTTTCAATCCATATTGAAGACTACAGTCCTTGACCTTCTGCAGCATGTGCTTCAGGTGCACCTCAGTTTCTGCAAGCAAGGCTGTGTCATCTGCATAACGTAGGTTGTGGATGAGTCTTCCTCCAATCCACTTTTCTCCTCATAAAGCCCTGCCTCCCAAATGATCTTCTCTGCATATAGATTGAAAATGTATGGAGGCAGGACACATCCCTGCTACGCTCTTTTCCTGATTTTGAACCATGCAGTGCTTCTCTGCTCTATTCTGAGGACTGCTTCCTGGTCCAAGTACAGGTTTCACTTAAGCAAAATCAAGTTCTGGGATTCCCATTCTCCTTAAGGTTAGCCACAAGTTGTGATCAACACAGTCAAATGCTTTTTGGGTGATACTGTGATATTTTTTGCCTTCCCCACTCTCCAACTTCCTTCTCTAATAAACCCCATTGTTGGCACCATAACTGTGAGTCTGTGGGTCAGCAACAAATAAACAAACCTGTTGGGGCTAGTGGGGCAATATCAGCACCATGGGGATGGGCTATGGACTCCTGACCTGCTTTCTGCTGTGGGGCGGTGACAGGCTGTGTTGTTCTCACTCTGTGACCCTTTCAGAGAAATTCTCATAGTCTTGTGCCTCTATGTCTAGGTTCCCGTCTTTTCGGACACATGAGGTCAACACATTCTACAACAGGGAGCTCCAACGGCATAGACCATAAGGAGCTGCACTGCTAGCTCGAAGACAGCACCTCTCTGGTGGTTTGGATCCACCAGAGGCTCCTTGGGAGAAGGATAGACAATTTCTTTCCAAGTGATATACAGTCTTAGAAACCTACTGGAGGGTCAGGGATGAGTTACTGCCAATTTGATGGCAATGAGTGAGTGAGTGCTTTTCTAATACTAAATCTTTCAGTTAAAAATACAAGAAGTATGTGTTATTTGATCTTCTACACAGTTTATTGCATCTAATACGCTCATTTCCCCTCTCTTCCTCTAAGGATGCCTACTGGCTAGAATTGGCACTATCTTGGATGTCCAGATCCAAAGGTGACCACTTCTCAGCAAAATCAATTATGAACAGCAAAGGTAAGATCTTTAATACACTTTAAATGAACTGAGGTCTGTTCTGGGCATGAATTCTCAAGGTCCCTTGGCTTCTTTGTAAGGAAAAGAATTGAGGGGGTTTTTTGTAACCTGATAAAAAAGTAGTTTAAAAGAGCCACGTTACCTGTCGACGCTCAGAGCACAGAGATTGAGGACGGTGATCCCCACTGAGGACTTCTGCAAGAACGGGAACAACTTGCAAAGAAATACGCCAAAGTCATTGTGGTCAAAGGGCCAGCGCCCAGCCAGCAGCTGGAAAAGAAGAGGAGTCCAAGCGGTCAGAAAAGGCAGAGCTTGCAGGGGAAACACAGACACTGTTTCCAGTTACACGTCTAGATGCCTTTTATTCTTTATGCTTTCCCATTATTAAAGTGACATGGAGTAGTAATATTAGAATTTCCATAGTTTAAAGCCTCAGCACTTTATTTATTTATTTTTTTTTGGTTTGGAAAGATTGTGAATAATAAATATAACTTTTAAGGAATGGAGCAAGTTTCGGATTTTGGGTAGCAACTTAACTAAGATACAGTCATCTCTTGTCTCTTCTTATTAAACTATGAGTCATGAATGTAGTTTTCAACTCACGGCAGTGAGAGACTGAAAGTATGAGTGAGGTTATAGAGAATACTGGAAAAATGAAGTGGTTGAGAGTGCCTTGGTTTTGTTAACTGGTTAACATTTAAACTACCTTTTCCTGTAGAAGTATCTTTTTCTTAGTGCTTTTAAACTCTGGTTCAGTAAATATGGTAGGGGCCAACTATTTTTAATTTAATTTAGGCCCAAATATCATACAGGAAAAAGGAGTTACTGTGACCTATTTGTAGTATTGCAGGAAAAAAAAATCTGTTCTTTCATGATGCAAATTTGAAATCTTTGTTTAAAGAAAGGAAATGTAATACCTCTAGAGGAAGTGGTAGCAGCATAACATGGTAACTACAAATAACGGTAATGTATCTAATTAGGTATTGCTCTAGGAGCATAGGCTTTAATGATAGCTAACTAAAAGGACTAAAAAGGTAAGTGGTAGTCCCTGTGAAATATACAATTATTTTTCAAAAAGAAAGAGAGTATTAATTTCCTTTCTAATTTTTGTTTAGTGATTTACAAAAATTTACTTACTCAAATCCATAGTAAACACTCTTCTACAGCCTTGACTTAAATTAGTCTTTTTCTTTTCTGAGCCACCTTTTGCCATACTAATATTAAATTCAGCTTTGAATTTTGACCATTTCTACAAAATGTCAAGTTTTGTGTGAGAATTTGTACTTCTATCAAATTTCATCTGAGCTTCGGTTGCCTAGTGTTAAGAAGCTGAGCTATAATCCTGAAGGCAACTGGTTCGAATCCACTGGCTGCTCTGCAGGAGAAGGATGGGCAGTCTCCTCCAGTGTGCTTAGCTGCCTCTGAAAAGCCGCTGGAGGGTCAGCAATGCATGGGCTCTGACTCAAAGGCACACAAGCACAACAACTTTCAAGGTCAATATTTTCACTAACACAAGTCCATTAGAAGAGGTACTTCAAAAAGTAAGAAATAGCATGAGATTCTCTATAATATTATTTTCAGGGCTAAATCCTCATATGACTTAGTTCCTGAAATGCTCTCTCTTAGTTTTTCACACATACTTTTGTTTCTCCTGAGTATTTTTCTTAACAGACATTTTCTTTTAATCCGAGTTCACTGTCCTCTGTCTCAATGCACTTCTTAGAATTTCCGCATACACCATTGTCCAAGGACAACCACAAGGCTCTTCACAGAAACGCTGTGCTAAGCGTAGATTGTTTCCACGAAACCAGCAAATAATTGTGCCATTGCTGACTACTGACTATTAGTGCCTGATGCAAATTAAGGCATTAAACATGATTTCTGGGATGAATCACCCTCCAAATTGAATTTCTCCATTAAGGCCACAGAGATGGACTTAAAATGCATGCGAATTGCTATGGGATATGTTTTGGAATGATGGAACTGTTGCTGTAAGCTTACTCCCATGAGAGAGGAGGGTTCTGAGATCCATATTGGCTGGGTTTCCTAATTCATACATCCAACAGGAAGAGGAAAACAAAGCTGCTTCTTGTTTAATAAATCTGAATTCCTGTGAAGTTCTAGTGGTAAGAAGTGGTAAGAAGACGACCCAGGAAAACCACAATGGAGCACTCATGTCTCAGGCACCTTCCACTCTCAACGGCTTTGCTTTTCTTATTTTTCAAACTTCCTTTAACCCTTAGGTAGGGTTAAGTGTAAATGAAAGGCAGAAAGGAAAAACTTCATGGAAGAGATAGACAAAAACTTGTTTTTATTGTTGTTGACCGTCTTTGAATCGAGCACAATTCATAGTGACCTTATGAACAAAAGGCCTGAAGCCTTTCTGTAACTATCGTAATTTATCAAAATTTGTAGAGTGTCAGAGTAACAACAAAAATATAGAATCAAGGGAGCTCTGGCGGCTCAGTGGCAAGAAGCTGTGCTGCAATCCCCAAGATTTTCAGTTCAGATCCACCAGACGCTCCGCTGGAGAAGGAGAGGCAATCTCCTCCTATGTTAGTCGGATCCGATTCGATGGTACACAAGAAGAAAATAAAATATAGAATCATCTTTGGTTGGCATCAATTTTTTTTCTCCCTTTTGTCCTCTACCCTTCCAACGAGTGAGCATTGAGTCTTCTTGGGAATTATAGATAAAAGGGTATAAAAGGGACCTGCAAGATTAAAGCTCATGCTTGGCTTAATGTTTGCTGTATGAGTACTCAGAAAAAGAAAATTAACATCATAGTGGGTTTAAAAAAGGATATAAAAGAAATCACTGGAGGAAAAAATTTTAGATATAATCACTGTAAACACCTCTCTTATGTACATAATTCACTATGAAAGAACATATGGGTGCTAACTGTCCCACGATTGCCAAAGGGAAATTAGACTGCTGCTTGCGGTCAAATGTTTCCCTCTCCTTTGCTGTAGCTTCCTCAGAGAAACTCTCATTAACAATCCAATCTTAAAAACAACATAAACACAACAAAACCCCAAAACCGCTTGTGTTGTTGAGTTGATCCTGACTCACAGGGCTCCTGTATTTGCAAAGTAGAACTGCACTCTGGAGTTTCTATGGCTGTGATCTCATGGAAATGGATCACCAAGACTTTCTTTCAAGGCACATCTGGGTAGATTGGAACTGACAAAAGTTTGGCTAATGCCTGAACATTTAACCATTTATATTACATAGGAATTCGGCACTCAACTTAAAATAGAATTTTCTTATTTAGCTCCTTAACAGAACCAATGTTGTAGCAATCTTATTTTTAAAAGTCTTTCCCTTTAGGAAGAAAACATAACTAAGAAGGGCACCATAGGGGTAAATGTATAGCTCATCTCTTTCTCTTGCTTTGAAGAGGCATTTTGATGCTTTTGAGAAACTACTAGTGATGCATGCTTTCTATTATTTACTAACACTTAAAAAGGAAAATTTTATTGGTATTAGGTGATGCGACTTGACGGCACCTAACAATAATAACAACGACGACATAGAGAGAGCTACGTTGGCCTAGTGGACAGAAAGTTATGCTACCAAGCCCAAGGTGGGTGATTTTAATCTGCATTCCTCAGGCCAGGTTCAAATTGCTTTTTTTCTCAAACATTCTTCTAGGTGGTATAGCACTAGTCTGTGCATTCATTGCTGTGCAGAGAGGTAACTCGTGGTTACTGTGAAGCTGAACACTGTGACACTGATGTGTCAAATGTGATAATGGTTACCCACGATGGACAGTATTTAGTGGAGCTTCTCGATTAAAACAGACTTGGAAGCAGGAGTGGCATCTACTTCCGAAATGGCTTGCCTCTGGAAACTCTATGAAAAGTGCTCAGGCCTTTCGTTCATAGGGTCACTATGAGTTGTCTACGACTCGACAGCACTTAACAACAACAACAACATTAGGTGATGCAGAATCATTTCTGACACACAGCAATGCCATATAAAACAGACTGACCTCCAGCCTGGTCTTCCACTGTTCTCACAATCATTGCTATTTTTCAGTCTATCATTGCAGCCTTAGTGAAAGGTCTTTCTCTTAACAATCTCTCTTTTTTAAAATTATTATTAAATTTCATTAGTTTTAATGAACATTTACAGATATTTTGGGTTCTCATTCATTCATTGTTGCACTGTTTTCTCTACCCTCATCCCCAGTTCGTTCTTCTTCCCCCCCCCATGTCTGTTTTAATTGTCCAATTGCCACAGTGCTTGTCAAAGTCAGTTCTGATTAATCTCCTTTGTCGGTGTGTCCTTTGCCATTCCCTATCACTCCTGCATGAGAGAGACTTCACCCTGATTCATAAGGAAAAGGGGATGGCGTATTCTCTTAGCTACTCCTGCTGAAAAGGGACGCTGTGGGTTTCAGGGTGAAGGTCTTCTTTCACTACTCTAAAGGGCCCCTTTGGCAGTAGGAAACACATAGACTATTATGGAGATTGATTTGGGAATTTAGATCCTGTTAACAATACATTCATCTCATGAAGCATCTTCTTCTTTCTTGCTGACCCTCTTCTTTACCCAGCATGAGGCTCTTCCCCAGGAACTGGTCTCTCTTAATCACAAGCTCAAAGTATATGAGACAAAATTCTTATCATTCTAACTTCTAAAGAACATTCTGGCAGTTCTTCTAATAAGAAAGATTTGATAATTCTAGTAGTCCATATTATGCTTATTACATGTACCAACACCATAATTCACATGCATCAACCTTCTTTGGCTTTCCTTAGTAACTGTCCAGTTCTCACGCACATGTTGTTATGTGTCACTCATAGTTGTTATGTGTGACTCATAGCGACCCTGTGTACAACAGCCCTAAACCCTGTTCTATCCTGTGACGATCTTATTGTCTCCTACACACCTACCCCCATTACCCCAGTCACTGAATCAATCCACCTCATAGAGGGTCTTCTTCTCCTGAGCTGTCCCTCCACCCTACCAAGTTTGATGTCCTTCTCCAAGGACTGTTCCCTCATTACATGTCCAAAGTATGTCAGACGAAGCTTCAGAATCCTTGTCTCCAAGAAGCAGCCTGGCTTCACCCTCTCCAGGATGAACCTATTCTCTTAGTAGTCCGTGGTACTCTTTAATACTCTTCTCCAGCACCTCAGCTCAAAGGCATCAACTCTCCTTCTAACATCCCTAGTCATTGCCCAGCTTTCTGATGTATAGTAAGTAACTGCAAAGACCACGGCCTGTATCAGGTGCACCTTAGTCTCCAGACTGACACTGTT